AACCATAGAAACCAATCGCTTGCTTGGCCCTAGACACGGCTTCTCGGTACTCTGTAGCCTGCAAGCATTTCCGGATTAATCGTCTAAAAATTGAGATTTTGCGATGAAGAACAGTGTTTTTGAAGCCACTAGAACTGTGCTTTTGTTTTGGCGCAGATATCTCAAATTTCCATAACGTGAGGGTTGTGGACTGCCCGAAAAGCGACTTCGTGTTTCATCTATACTGTGACTAAAGCTTGCTGGCGAATACTTTGTTCCACCGGCACTTCTCATTTTTATGCGTTTTTGCACATATGCAAATTGCAAAAACGCATATTGGGAAGAGGCTGTATGTGTGTGTTCGCACTTTTTGTCACCCACTTTCAATTCGAGAACCAGAAAAGCTATAAGGCTAAAACTTTGGGAGTATGTGCCCATACCATGTGCGACCTTTCCGCTTCAATATCACCATCCGCCCACATCTGAATGCTGCGTACGAACGTCTTAGAAAAATATGCAAATTTTTTGGCGGGAAGGCAGGCTCGAGGACCAGACAAGTTGAGGGGCTGAAACATTGCAGGAATATTCTCTATGCATCTAAGAGCTTAAGATTTCAATTCCAGCCTTCAGTTATGCGTGGTACACACACAAGGGTGTCTGAAAGTTTTGACGGGAAAACTAGTAACTCGGGAACCAGAAAGGCTAGAAAGCTGAAATATTGGGGTTAATGTTCACTGTCCAAGTGCAACTCAAATATTTTAAATTCAGCCCCTAGGTGCACGTAAGTCTCATGTATGGGCACACAAAAGTTTTGGCGTGAAAATTGCCAACTCGGTAACTAGAAAAGCGAAAAAGCTGAAATTTTAGGGGGATGTTCTTTGCCCACATAAAATTTAAAGATTTCAAATTCAGCTTCTCAGGTACGTGGGGCACCCATGTACGGGCATGTAAAAGTTCTAGCGGAGAAACTACTAACTCAAGAGCCAGGAAAACTAGAAAGCTAAAATTTTAGGAGAATGTTCTCCGCCCAAATCCAAATTAAATATTTCAAATTCAGCCTTCAGATATGCGTGTTTCTCAAGTATGGGCACCTAAACTTTGGGCGGGAAAATTGCTCACTAAATAGCTAGGTTAATTTCGAAGAACGATCGTTAAATGGAAATTGCTCATTTATTTCATGTAGAATTTATGGTAATTTAAGATAGCGAGCGCAAAAGGTAGGTGTAAAGAAACAACTGTTCATGTATTATCTAAGTACTTCAAGCTTGGTGCAAAAACGCATAATCGCACCGGTAAACCTGGTGCGTTTCAGCCTGAGTTCACTTTTATTCCATCAAGAGCTGCCAAGACTCCAAAGCAAAAGTGGTTGCGCAAAGCCGGAAACTGATTTGCTTTCGGTTGCCTGAGATGCCCCGGATAGAAAATTATTTTCGCTGAGAGAGGAGAGTAAATCGAACTGTTAGATAGTTCTCTTCGCCACTGCCAAATTACCGTAGCAGATTTCATTTCAGGGAACAATAATCAGCTGTTTCATTACTTATCAGCCACTGCAGTACCAGGATTACACATATCCGAAGGCAGCCAACATTATTGGTGTACTATTCGCACTCTCTGCCACTTCGGCAATACCGCTGGTTGGAATATACAAGTTTTTTGCCGAACAAGGCAGCACCTTCAATATGGTAGGTATTTACGGTTGTCTAGTAAAGATTAGTCCAAAGCGACGAAGAACCAAACGAATATCAAAACCGTCCGGCAGCCGGCGTGGCCATGCGACATTTGTAATGCTGCTGGAGTGCTTTCACAAACAATAGTTGCAGCTCTATAACCTGAATCCATTTGCAATCGCCGCCCATATGGTGTATTTACGTATGTGTTTAAGCATGCATGTGTTTATGGTGTGTGTGTGTGTGTGTGTATGTACGTATGTGTGTATCTGTGTTTGTGTACGTATGTGTGTATCTGTGTGTTTGTGTGTGTGTGTGTGCACACAACTTTTTCTAGAGATCTCGCGGCCATCCATAACTTAAGTGATAACACAGAAGTATCAATGGACGTGCGCAGGAGCTATAATTAAAAACAAGAGTATGCTGTAGTAAAACCAGGAGCTCTGAAACGATATTTCAAGAAATTTGTAAAGTAAAAAGAACTAGCTTCTACAATCCCCCACTTTGTCTTCGATGCATTTATTTGTTGCAGAAACTAAAATCAGTTTTGACTCCGCATCGACGAGGAAGCGAAATCGACTATCACACAGTTGGATCGGTTTCCAATAATGAAATCACTCTGTGATCGTCATATAGCACTGAAATTGCTTCAGACTGAAAAATGCTCTACCTTCGTCGAAAATAGGGGAATAAAATGTTCACGATTTGGCTCATGTGCTGAGGCTTGAGATAGTACAATAAGAGATAAGAAACTGAATTAAGTGTCATGTACAAGAGGACATGTTTGGATTCTGTGCTTCATCTCTCAGCTGTAAACACAAACCGAGCTTTAAGTGCAGCGAGGAGCGGAAAACATTAGCGCAATCTGAATTCGCAGGCCCAGGAGAAGCGCAAATACATTTGATTCAGTATGTACGAACCCAAAACATGCATTATTTGGAGCGACTGAGTTCAGCAATTTTTGTTTTCGAGATTGCACCGAAAAAAAAACATCGGATCTGAAAAACAGCTGGGCTGGC